AAACAATGCTAGCCACACACTTCACCCTGTCGCTTGACCAGGTACCACGCCCGATGATTTGCGTATGAAGTCGCGTGAGTACTTGCTCATAAAACCGAGGGCGCAAAATCGTTACAGCAATTATGGCAACTACAGCGGAACAAACACTGGCGCGTACTCCAGTTGGTACAAACCTCGCGACGACATGGATAGGAGGAGGTCCTGTGCAAATTGTGGCTCGATGGACCACCATGTTTCCGCATGTTCTGCTTACAAACAGAACATGAAGGCGATAGGCCACTTTCTCGACGAAGTTGATGCGACCGACGAGGACCACCAAGAGTTTGTTAGAGGGCTCATTATGAAGTATGGACCGAGGTGCTTCTTCTGTAATTTGGAGGGACACTTCAAGTCAGACTGCACTCAATTTTGGGATGCAGTGGCGGACGCGAAACATCCCCGCCATGAAGAGGCGCTTTCGGGCTTCAAAGCCAGTCGAGCACGTCTGATGAACGAGGCTGAATCTCGAAGAAAAGAGACGACACCGAGCACTTTTACAACTAAGAAGGTGAAGACCATGCCTGACGAGGTGGTAGCCTCGAGCTTGGAGGCAGGGTCGGCCGGCCCGCTCAAGGTGGATTATGGTTTGGCAGCAAGGACAGCGTTGCAGAATGTCCAACAGGAGCTAGCCACGAAAGAAATTGAGCAATGCTAAGGTCGGAAGTGGAGAGCACAGATCTTCGGAAAAAAGTTGACATTTTGAGTAAAACACTGAAAGAGGGCACACAGGAACCCAGAAAGCAGGGATTAAAACTGAACGTCATATCGGGTAGAACTTTCGGCATGACGAAAGAAGCGACGAAGATAATGTCCATTATCTCAGTCGCAGGACACCAGGTGGTCAAGAACTTGAGTGAACCGTCCGAGATTACGCTGGTCCACCTGGACATTTATGCAGACTACCTGAGGGAGAAGGATCCCAAGCTGGACACCAGGGCGGTGCGAGCGCTGCTCACGACAGGAGGTCCGAGGCTGATGAGAGTGGATGGACATTACATCGAGGTCCATGGCCCATATCCGATTCTGATGAATGTGGACAGCATCAATATCTACACAAAAGCTCACGTATCTGATGCGAGTGATCACGTAGGCCGGATATACATTGGCCAAGAAGAGCTGAAGGTGCGAAGAATCGAACACAATGCCATGCTTGAACAAGATGCAGACCACATAGGTTGCGAAGCCGATCTGGCAGCACATGTGCTAGATGTTCAGGGCAGACAACTTTCAGTGAAAGGACTGTTAGACACGGGTGCAGTGGCCAGTGTCATGCCAGTCAAAACCTGGACTGACATGGGCTTTGAAAGGTCGGATCTTATACCGACAAACATCAGACTTGCAGCTGCCAATCAGGGAGCAATATATGTGACAGGACGGACCCCGACCATATCACTGCAGCTTGGGGGAAGACATCTTTGGATGAGCTTCCTGGTGGTGGAAATTTTGGACGAATCCGATCAATTCATCCTGGGAAGGGACTTCGTACGCAACTTTGATGTCACGATCGACCTCAATGACGGGTTGATCAGGATCAAAGATCCGGAGAGAAAGTATGAAAAGAAACCTCTTAATAAGATCTTAATTAACCAGGCTAAGGTGCCAATTTTTCTAGATCGAAAAGTGAGATTGAAGCCAAACCAAGCCGTGGTAGCGACGTTTAGGATGAGGAATCTAAATGAACTCAGTAATGAAAGACAGGTGTGCCTGGTACTAAATCCAAACACTAAGAGCTCGGCTATTTTAGGAAGAAGCTTCTAACTCACTCAGAGCGGACTGTGTGTGAGTGTGTTGTTGAACACAGAAGCAACATCAGTGACAATACAGAGGGGAAAGAAGCTTGGCTACGCATTGCCTCTGAACACAGACTTTCAGAGTGTGGAGAACTTGAAAAAGTTTGATGTAATTTAGTAATTAAATGTCCCTTGCATGCGAATCAAGAATGTATGTTGAAGAGAGTAAATGAATTGAAATCTTCTAAGAAATTGTTTTCAATGAAGTCGGAAACAGATGATGGGTTGTCTAGTTGTTCGAATTTTCCCGAGAGACCGACAGAATCAGAGTTAGCAGCGGATAAACCGGTACTACCTGAGATAGAACATTTGAAGGGTAAAATATCAGACGAGGAACTAGATTCGCTCAGGGCGGTGCTATGTCGGAACGCCGACGTTTTTTCGAGACATAAGGCCGACATAGGTTGCTGTAATTTTGTAGAACACGAAATTGAGATAGTAGAGGGCTCAGTAATTCACAGCGAAGGGGCGAGGAGAATGACCCCTCATAAGTCGGAAGCGTGCAGGAAGGAGATCGAGATGTTAAAGGAGTACGACATAATCGAGCCGTCAAAGTCCCCGTGGGCTTGTGGCGTGGTCATGGCCAAAAAGAAAGGGGGGCAACTCAGGTTTTGTTGTGATTTCCGTTATCTGAACGCAGTGACTTTAAAAGACGCATACCCGATTCCCCGCATCGATGAGAGCCTATCCAAGCTGGGAGACGCGAGGTTCTTCACGACGTTAGATTTGGGCTCGGCGTTCTGGCAAGTGCCACTCCGAAAGCAAGATCGTGAAAAAACGGGCTCCGTGTGCGTGCGAGCTGGGATTGTTCCAGTGGAAGAGGATGCTGTTCGGGTTGTGCAACGCGACGGCCTTATTCCAGCGACTGATGGCCCAGGCACTCACGAGTGTGACGAAGAAATACGGGAATCTCATCATGTGTTACGTCGATGATGTCGTGATCGCAACGCCAACCCTAGAGGACCACATAGGATGAGGTGTTTACTTGCTTGAAGTAGGCGGGATTGAAGTGTAAACCCTCGAAGTGTGAAAACCTCAGAGACTCCATAAAGTATCTAGGCCGCCTGGTGGATAAGCATGGAGTGAGACCAGATCCCGAAGCGGTCGAAGCGGTTTTGACCTGGAAAGCAACCAAGACAGATACACAACTGATGAGTTTTTTGGGGTTCGCTAACTATTATCGGGAGTTCGTCAAGGGATACGCCGATAAGATATACCCCATGCAACAGTTGATGAGAAACAAAGACAAAAAGTTAACTTGGACTGATGAGGCACAAGTTTCATTTGAAAACATTAAACGTGAACTTTGCGAGGCACCAGTCCTCGGCATGCCAACAGAGAAGGGGCTGTTTGTGTTAGAGACGGATGCATCAGTGGTTGCAATATCAGGCATACTTCACCAGGAGCAAGAGTGGAACGGGAGAACGGTTCTCCGTCCAATAACCTACGGAAGTAAGGTCATGAGCGATACCGAGATGAAGTATGGCGCACCAAAAGAGGAAATGTTCGCGGTGATGACTTTCGTGGAAAAATACAGGGCCTACTTGGGGAGTGCTCCCTTCAAGTTGCGTGTGGATAGTCGTGCCCTTTCCTGGCTGAAAACCTTTTCGATGGACCAAAGTTATATTGGTTAATGGATCGTGCGCCTGGATGGATACAACATGATCATACAGCACCGTACCCGTGACAAGCATCAGAATGCTGATAGCCTCAGTAAGAAGACAGAATTCTATGAGCGCCTCGAAGAGAAGCAGGCTAACTAAGCGGAGATCAAAGACGGGTTTTCATTCCTAGAGAAGGAGACCTACGACAAACTACCACTCACTTAGTGGCTGGATAAGTCAGAGCACCCTATACCAGGGCACCCTGAACTTCCAGTGGAAAAGGCCCTTGAGATAAAGGTTTTAGCCAGGGGTGAACCCGTTCCGCTGAATCTGCTAGTCCGATCCAATCTGGTACAGCAGGAGCTTACCAGGCTGGGTATAAACAGCATAGCTCTGTTAAATAGGACGGTGAACGTGGCGCTGGATAGGGAGGTCGATAGGCATGATCGTGAATGAATGGAAACGATGCAGCGATTGACCGTCACTGAGAAAACGGAGAAGAGGCCAGTGATCATTCGCGGTCGCGATGTGGAACGGGATTGTCGGTCGATAGTGAACCAGCTGGTGACCTCAATGCCGCAGGATGTCTTGTTGAGGACTTCGTTCACAGAACGTGGGAAATTGACCCCGGTCCAAGTCACTGAAGAAGTCAGGGTCAAGTCGAAATCCAGCTTCACGAGAAAAGTACATTTCACAGATGCAGAAGCAGAATACGAGCCGAGCTCAGATTGCTCTTCCAGGGACGAAACAATGTCCGGGGAGTCGGACACCTTCGGGCCCGTGTAGGACGATTTGTCCGGGGAGAGGTTGATGAGACCACCTAGAGACAGAATTTTGTCCGGGGAGTCGAGAAACATCACAGACAGAGTGGAACGTGATGGTGTGGAATCATTCGGCTCAAGTGATGACTCGGGGCCTCAGTCCTGGGACAACACATCTGAGACTACTTCCATTTCTGATGTATCGGAGATTGCGATTCATTCCTTGTTGGTGAACTGGAAGCAGCGCGGGCTGGACAGGGAAATGCATCACGATCCGGACAGAGACAGGTACACCTCCGATGAGGAGGGCACCGTGGTGGATAATGCTGCTGATGAGATCGAGCTGATAGCAGTTTCGAAACTTCCAACCAGATAACTGCCACATGGTACGGTCGTCCGTACCAATCTGGAGCCAACTGTGCAGGAAGCAACGCCTTTGAAGAAGATACGGTGCGTCAAGTTGATGGACGCTGCCCATGCTCCGGAGACAATTAAACGTGATAAAGACGTATCTGAAAGCCAGATACCGGCTGTCGGACCTCCTAAGGGCTCAACCAAATGACAGAAGGACGAGCAATCTGAAAAAATGGATCGAGAATGGAGCAACTGACGAAGGAGATTTGGAAGAAGACAGCTATTAGATCTTAAAGCAGTTCTACCTGAAAAGAAAAGATTTGTTGTACCTGAACAAAGACGGAATCGTAGCCTGTAAACGTAAAAAGGAGGACAAGGAGCTTTACAAGTACAATTTAATAGTGTTACCACAATTATACCAGACCAAATTGCTCTTTCGTTCACATGACCAAATGGGCCATCAAGGAGTGGACAAAGTGTACAACATGATACAGGAACGATTCGAATGGCCTGGCTTGAAGAAGGCGTGTGAAAAATGGATCTCTGCGTGCTTGTCATGTCAACAGGCGAAAGACCCCAGGAAACTAAGATTCCCTCTGCAGTCAAAATATTCATCGGGATTCAATGAAGTAGTGCAAATTGATCACCAGAAGATATGCATGACAGCCACGGGCTACAATCAGGTGCTGGTAATGATTGATCATTTTACGAAATATGCAGAGGCAGCACCCTGCATGACAGCATCAGCGGAAGAAACATGCGATCACTTGATAAATGTGTGGATAGCGAGGCACGGCTGCCCCATCTCATTCTAATCGGACAATAGCAAAGCGTTCGTGGGTGATCTCACGAAGGAGTTAATGAAAAGGTCGCAGGTAGCACAGGCCCATTCGACCACTCATCACCCGCCAACGAATGGCCTATTCGAGAGGCAAAATCGCACGCTGGTATCCATGTTGAGAGTTTATTGCTCACGCTACATGGATGACTGGGATAGACACTTGCCGCAAGTGATGGGTGCTTACAACAGCACAGAGCATTCCACCATGGGAAAAAGTCCGCATATGATGCTAACGAGTCACGAAAAAGCGCTTCAGTTGACGTTTTTCTACCCTGAAAATGAAGAGAAGAGAACAGCACCGCAAACGTACGTACGAGATGTCATTAGAATACAGCAGGACCTCAATGACTTATGCAGGAGGAACACGCAACAGGCGCAAATTAGACAAAAAAGGAGGTTTGATAAAAGGACTGGCGATGCAAAAGCCTACTCAGTTGGCGATTACGTCTGGGTTTTATTAAAATGGCGTGGCCCATTTCACTCAAATTATTTAAAAAAATGGCGCGGCCCATTTCAAATAACAGAAGTGCACCAAGGAGGTCGGTTTTATTGACTGAGCACAGGAAGAGCAGCTTATTACGAAAACATCAAACCGCACAATGCCTCATCAGAGGACTGATGTATCCCAGCGGACATGCAAGAGAGAGACTATTTGATAGTGGATCCTGCTTGTAACGTGAATGAAAGAGGTACTCGCGACAAAAACGACGGAAATCAGGTGATGGATAATTGCGATCTACCACTGGACCTAGAGTTGACCGAGCGAGTAGAGGTGGATGACGAAACTCTACCTTATGCCGAAGAGGACTGGGACTGCCCAGAACAGACTGAAATTGACAAAGGAATACAACCTGACTTTCCTCTCACCATGGAGACACGCCAGAGCAAGACGGGAAGGGATAAGAAGAAGTACAAACCGTATGGCGAGGATTTCGTCATAGACAGGATAGTTTTAAGTGATATGATGGAGTCGCTGAAGGGACTAGATGAAGTAGCGGTGGCAAGAGAGATCGACTTGGTGAATGACATGGATCAAGATTGGATAGACGATCGCTCTGAACCAGAAGTAGAGTTCGAACCAGAGGTGGATCAGACTCATGAGCAAGAATTAACGAACTTGCGAGTGCTCGAATGGCTCCACGATCTGCCGACAGATCCTAAAGAGACAATCTTGACGATTCAGGAGGTCGATAAAGACGGCATCAAATACGTCAGCCATGACAATACCGAATCCAACTGGGTCGCTCCAGATGGCCCTCTACGCGTTCCGCAATCCAACCTCGATCTGCTCGACTTTGGGCGATCAACGGGGACGTCGATGGATATTTTTGTCCGGGGAGTGGGGGTAGGACTCACCCACACCAAAAACTTGATCATTAAAAAATTAAAATTGGCAAGAGAAACCGGAGAACTGAAGACGGAGGGCGAGAACGCTAAAAAACCACCTTTTGGACAAATTTCTGAATCTTATTTTGACCTACCGAACCATTATTCAAACAATATCGTCATAACAGACAGCGATTTCATACTCACGGAACGTACATGCGCTATAGCGATAACCGCGGACGTAAGCTTCAACACAGTACTAGCGGCTGACTTCAAAAGAGAGTATAAGAATATCGAGTTTTTATGGAAACAGAGGCCTGATGTGGGAGGGATGATAGCGCTGCCCCTGTTGTATCACAGATACCAGGGAAAAATTTGTGTTTCCTGGTTACTAAGGCCACTGATAGGCAACACGTAGATCCAGAGAGCTTGGTATTGGCCTTGACTCGACTTAGGGATTTTCTGGTTGAGAGAGGAGTAACCTCTCTCTCGTTACCAGTCTATGATCCCAATAGGGGAAAGCTACATCCGAGAGAATTGTACGCCCTTGTACACGTGATATTTTCAGAAACTGACATAGAGGTTTACTTACATAAAAATTACTATCTGAGCATATGCTAGGAGTTGCATTCGGCGATAAGTGGTTTTTATTAAGTCCACTTTATAGAGATTAGGATTGAGTTAGGTTAGCTACTAGGGATTATGTTCTTTGGTAATAATGTAGATATAAGATGTTTATATGTTATGTTATTGTTAGGGTATGTTTTACGTGATGTTTGTGTCCTGAAAGACCTGGAACACTCCAGGTAGTGAAGGTGACAGCACTCATTCGTGTTACCTCGATAAGGTTGAAGGTGGACGATCCACCTTGGTGATAAGTTTTAAATCATCAACGAAGAAAAATTTCAATGAATCGTTTCAAAAAAAAAAGATGTGACTGATGTTTTATCCTGAAAATGGGACCGCAAGAAATGATGGTTTTAAGTAGTGACTTGCTTTTTAGATCTTGATTAAGCAAATCTTGTTTATTGAACCCAACAAACCGGAAAGAAATCGACGAAGAAAATCAACACGATAGAAATGGGCGACACGAATGAATTAATGGAATTTCTCTCAGCGAGTCTAGGAGGGACTCTAGACGAGATCTATCAGAGGCTGATTGATTGTGACTTTACACGAGAAGACCCGGGATTGGCAATGTTTGTGGTCGCGCTCCTCAACGCGTTGGGACGAGAGGGTCGAGGGAATCGCCTCACGGAAGTGGTGTTGATGCTGGCCTTCGGTGAGTCCGGGACCGCCGAGAGAGGTCGAAATCGATTGATGAGATGGCGCCGAGGAGAAATGCCTGGACACGACTTGGCTCGTGAGCCGGGACTAGGCGAGCAGAGGGATCACCGGCTAGGTGAGATGCCCCTACCTATTCAGCCTGCGCAGCCGCGCATCGGAGTTAAAAGACTACGTGATGGGAGGGGCCCGTCACACTCAGTAGACTCTCCAACAGCTGCTCCTCCTCTCAAGAGAGTGAAGGTGAGCGAGATCGAGATACAGACCTCGGAGACGATCGAGACCTTGGAAAAGAGAGAAAGGGATCAGAACGAGCTGTGTGCCAAGCTGCAGGAGTACAGGGCAATATCTCGAGAAAGGGACGAATGGAAGAAGAAGTTTGAAGACCTGCAAATAGCTTACAAGGACGAGGAGATAAAACATCTGAAGGAACTATGTATGGCGAGGGTGAGTCGAGTGTCACCGGAGGTTCTGGCTACGATGAACTCCTCGGAGGCATCCAGGGACACACGTCCCAGGACGAGGGCACAGGAGCTGTGCGCACCGAGAGAGCCCGAGGCTCCTCAGCAGACATCACAGTCTGCTCCCAACCCGAGAAATACGATACCGGACCCCTCGGACACCTATCTCGCTCCTCAGTTCCAGGAGTTGTTCCATCAGGTAGCCAGAGCAGCTATGAACGAGATCAATAGGACCACTAGCCGGACGCTGGGTAGGGTCGTCCCTTCCCAACGCTTTGATCGTTCTTCGAGCAGCTCAGAGAGAACACCCCGAACTGTAGTACCAGCAGGGACCGCGCATGACGGGACGGTTCAGAAATCTCGCATGGTTGATATTAGAAAGAATCTAACGGTTCGTGCAAGTGGCCACGGAGCATCCTCATGCTTGTTTGAATGGCATGGGCTGGAACCCTGCCATAAGCAACCAGGCAATTCCCTCAGCGAGTCGCCATTTGGTTATAGGGGACAGTTTAGTGAGGGATCTAAACGAGATCTTTGTCAACGGGCAGACTACTGTCCTATCTTTTGGAGGCGCTTCCGTGGCTCAAGTCATCAAAATGTAGAGTTCCAGGGAGAGGATCACTTAGACACGTTGGTGATAATGCCTGGGTCTAATGATGTTTCGAGGGCCCCTGTAACTCCAGAGAGCAATTGGGAACCCCTACTGGTCTGCCTTCTGAATGAGCTGAAGGAGAAGTACAGACCCAGACTCGTGGTTCTATGCACGATACCACAGAACCCGGAGGTGGGCACGCCGGTTGCGGATTTTATGAATGGTAACGTGACCCGGTGAAACGAGATGACTCGCAGTCTGGTGCGGAGCAACCCCAGTGAGCTGCGACTCATGGATCTGGAAAACATGCTGTGCATGATCGATCACCTCGCACTCACCAGGGATGGCATACATTTCAACACCCAGCAAGGGAGGCTCTGGATAAACGACGTGTTCCAGACGCAGTTGAGGGAAATGGAGCAAGAATTGAGGACAACTAGCTCACTGGCTCGGACCAGTTCGACTGGAGGAGGTAGAGTGGGGGTAACGTGCCAGAATCACTCGCCAATCGCCTCGGGCCCCTGCCAAGGGAAACGGGTGCAGCTGCTCCCGTCACACCAAGCTCAGATGTGAGAGCGAGGTTGGGGACTGCCCCTCCTCCCAGAACTCAACCGTTGGAGATCCGACTTGGCAGATCGGTTGATCAGAACCGGATTAGCTCCCAGACCGTGTCTAGGAGGAATGACACGCCTGCTGCAGCAACTCCTGCTTCGACAACAGGAAATCGACGAGCGCCGTGCCGACGGAGGGAGTTGAACCAAACAGTGTGCTGCTTTGGAACCGTCCAGATCCCAGCGGTTGGGGACAATATAAGACAGACATGTCGGCGAAGTTGAACATGAACACACTGACGTGCCGGGAGGATGCAAGGAAGATGATCGGTTTAGAGGGTCCCACAGTGTCGCGATTGTATCGAATACCGGGCGTGGATTGGTTGTTAGCGGGACAGGAACAGTTCAGCTCGCCCGACTACGCTCAGGTTCGTGGACCTTAATGGATTGCCTCAGGAAATACCACTGGACACTTGAAGACACGATCTCTCACGGAAGTCCGTCGGAGAGCCAGAGAACTGACACCAACTGCTACGAAGGGTAAGTTTCTGGCAGAGAATACGCCTAACAACAAGCATCACAAGATGTACAGGCAGTTCGCTAAACCATACGGCCAGGAGCCTGGTGAATATTCGAGAGACTATCCCCGAGCGACCTCGGTGGAATGAGACGACAAGAGATATGTAGGACTGATGGCACCAGTCGGTAACAGCCTTTTTGCCGCCTATGATCCCTTGGATATGAAGGCTGCCAAATATCTGATAGTGGCCAGTTCGGATTACCTCTACACGCCCGTTCTCTCTTTTGGCCCGATGTGATTTTCTTGACGGCCCCTAAGTTGGACTGGGGACAATCAGCAGGCATGATGATAACTGTGCGAAGGGTAGTCAGCATGGAGCCGCAGGTGATAGTGGTTGCAGGCTCGAATGACCACCTGCAGAGTATAGGGTTGTTGTCTCGTCTTACGGATGGGTCGATCCCGAGCAATGAGGTCATAGGAGAGGCTATAATGACATTGTTCTCACCCATGGCTGACGTAGAAGCATCAGTACGACAACGCTTCACTCAGAATGTGGTGAAGGTTGTCTTTGTGTTATCACCGGGGTACGCCACATTGCCAGAACCCCTTCAGTTTGTGTACACAATGGTCAAAACGATAGCAGAGCGAAGATTCAGCCCGATTCATAATACCCGCGCCAAATAGAACGGTGGACCCCAACAACTACTACCCATCCGGATCCGAGCTTCCTGCCATTTGGGCTGACATTTCTAATGCCATACAGGGATTCAAGGATCGTAGCACAACTCGGTTGGTGCTGGATGAAGTCCTGGGGTTGGAGATGTCCAACTTCGCCAGATTACTGAAATTGAGGCCAGGTGTAGATAACGATCACTTGTTAGTACAACAGGTGGCTGATTATCTCTGGTTCAGACAATTAGATCACGCGGAGAATGAGCAGGGGAGGACGGTTAGAAAAAATATGACATCGGCGGAAGAGGATCTCATGGCGTTCGCTTTGCGTACGAAGCCACACACCAACGCATGGTTGTACTTGTCAACGAGATTGTGTACCTTGGGAGAAGACGCGTTCAAGCATGCACCGGCGGTAATCAAGGAGATACACGCGTATCTGAAGAACTTACTTAACGAGAGGGAGTTAGCCGGGGGCATGATGTTGCAATTGATGCAGGACGTGAACACGATGTCATTGGACAAATTCCAAGCCGTTATTTTGGCCACGAGGGCACAATACGAGCGATCAGACGCTATCTTGGGTTGAATGGGAGTGGGATGGACGCCATCCTTCTTGTCAACATGCTACCCGAGGGCATCCCGGAACCTGATCGCGAGCTTTGTCAAGGATATCCGGAAGCTGTCGAGTGGCCTGATATTAGCCTTGTATGTGACATTTGGTCACGAGAATTTCGTGAAGTGACCTTCGAATCTCTTCACCCAAGCTTTGACAGACCTGAGATTGGACGGGCTCCTCACCCTGATCGCTATGACGTATGGTCGGTTGGGCGATCTGCTCGTGCTATTGCGCTACCCAGAACAACTTCAGGGAACGAGTCGTGAATTCAACGCGCAGTTGGAAACTGCCTCGCTCAAAAATATAAAGGACTGGAGGATCCTCTTGCCCCAATATCTCCTGCAACAGAACAGGAGCATCACAGGAGAGGATAAGGTGGCGACGGATGCGGGTGAATGTAAGCAGTACTGTGGCATGCCCTTGCTGACGGATCTGGCTGTCATGATGCGGATCGATCCGCTGGCTTTGATTCATGGACTACGGGAGTTCGTCACGGTGGTTTATGGATCCGTGATGTCATTTGCGTTCCCCGATGTACAAGTAAAGGCATACAGGAACTCGGTGTTGTATGTAAACCTAGTTTCGGTAGTGGATTGCTCCGTGCTGAATTGGGTGGAACAGAAGGAGCTAAGAGGGTTAGCCAGCGACGATAGGCTATTTGCAAGAATAGCAGAGCCGGGTTGGGTGTTGATGGACTTCAACAACAACTTTAAGTGCCGAATGGGCCGCGAGGACCTTTCCCATGTCCAGTTCAATCCGAAGTTTTGGAATCTGCGACCAGTGGTGAAGGATTCAGGAGAGGCAATGAGGGTCCCACTTTTGCCAGAGGCCTACGCACACGTGAAAGAGAACCAGCAAGCGTGGCTTTCCGGGTCCAGGCCGCTGCAGGACCAATGCCCTCGATACCCGCCGATAATGAGGATGTTGTTGGAGTCACATCGCCTGCCATTGCCCCTCGCATTGGAGCGGCTCGTGATGCAGAAAAAAGAATGCTGAAATGGAGTGGAGGGATGGAGCCGCGGTTCATCAGCTGGAACGCTGCAGCCATGCACACATTTGATTTCATTTTCCTCGATGCCTGGAGCCGA